CGTTCTAAAGACATACAGGTACAAATGCAGGGAATGTCTGATTATCAGATATATCTTAAGTAGAACATGTGTAAGTGTAAAATGGTATCCCCAGGCAAGCTTTCACGCGACACAATGCTAAGATTTCTATAGCTGATGTTCTTATAGTTTATTAACATCAGTGTAAGACTCTTTGCTTCATTGGTCAGTCAAGATAGAGACAGACAGAATCACGAACACGACACGCAGCTTTCCGTATGTATTTTTTATAAAGCCTCGGTGGGGAGTTAATATTTCTGTGTTGAAGTCTATAATGACAGAGGGAGCCCTTTAAACAGGTGAGTTACATACAGGTACTCCAACGGTATACTCGTCAGGTACTATCTACAGGTAGGACTCCAACGTGTTGGAAAAGCACGCTGTCGCGATAAGACAGAGGTAGAATTAGAGCCAACACGACCAATACAAAATAATACTAGTTTAGGCTTTGACTGACAGATAGATTTAGCCAAAATAAAAACCATGCATGGACCCCGCACACCTTTAATCAAGCTCTGTTAGACACCCGAATCACCTGTGTTAATTCCAGGTGTCATACGTCTCAAAAATCCACCTTTTCAAGCGAATAACACACGCAGACTGACCCACCGCATTCAAAAAGTTCTGGACTAATTAAACAAAAAATAGGCCGATGAAAAGAAATAATTTGAACTGAACTATTTAAATTATTCCGCTTTTTACACGGGAACTGCAATTATATACATGTATGTTACAATGTACGGTATATAATCAACATGAGGAACTAGAGAGATAGGATCGCTATGGGACTACTTCAACAAGATTTTGTGGAAAAAGCGTCAAATAATCAGTGATGTTTGGGGTCTTATCGACATGTTCACTCTCCTAGTCATGTCTGTATTTAAACTGCACTATATATTGTACGTGAATAGAGGTTTACCAGCTAGTTTTAAGCTCCAATGATTTGCAATTGAAAATTAAAATGAAATGAAAAATGAAACGACAGTCGTCATTTGTATGCATGTATTTGGTTAACAGAGCAGAGATATGGTGCGGCCGACTATTTGCATGCATGCCTCTCTAAGTTTACTATCCCAGTGCAAATCTTCAGGAAATATCCGTGTTACTATTTCGTTCTCACATAAACATTTCATCACATTATCAATCTGCAATATTTGCTAATATCGCGGTTGTGGACAACTTGAATAACGTATTAACTTAGAACCAATGTCGACAACCAATGTCGACAATAATCACCAACAACAGGAAGTTACATACTCGCCAACGAATACTACAATGTACTCTCTATGAATATTGCCAAGAAATCAACCCGTTGCTTTCAAGATCAGTCGGTGTTTTTCACTGACCTTAAACGATTTTAGAAATACGTAAACATGTTTTTTCAACACTTGAAGAATTGTCAAATAGCAGATAAAAATAAATAAATATTCTCAATCTAAATGCGACAACTTAAAAGACATGCCAAAGTCAAGGCTAGATAGTGGGAATGACATGGTTTAAGGACTGCTACAGAGGTGTCTTGTCGCCTTGACGGGTTTACACAATTATGCAATCCCTGTTAGGGAGAATGGAGGGAATCTAATGGGTATAAATTACAGCAAGGTCACAGCAAGGTCAAAGCAAGGCAAACACAGAACTAGACATTAGACGTGCACACGGTTATCTGGCAGTACATGTGTGTTTAAGACTAAGATGGCACTTAGAGACTGATGATCAATAAAAAAATGATACGGAACACGCGTTAAAAATGTCTTATCGCCGGTCACATCTATTTGATCAGTACATGTAACTGGTACTAAACATTGAGTTCTGTATCACACTGGCCTCTATATCACTCTGTAGGTCTATTTTTGTCTCTGAAATAATATGTGGGAAGCTACATAATGCTTGCATATTTCTGAAGCATTATGTGTATTAAAATATTGATATGGAGTGAAGTTGTCATAGTAAAATAAAATTGATATGATCATTTAAAAGCCGTCACCTGTTCTGGATATAAAAACTGGGTGAGGTTAGGATACACTTTCTCCACGTTAAACTTTACGTAACGATGGTAGGTAGGTAGTGATTGACTATACTTCAGAGCAATGTTCCCATAGAATTAAAATTTATTTTGGCCAGACGTTTGAAAAGTTAAATTAACTCAACAAACGGGTGTGAACACTTACTTGATATGTTGATTTACCTTCGAAAGGTGTAAATATATTTGATTTTATATTTTTTATCAAACTAGTAACGTTGAGTAACCCGATGTCGGTCGGCCTATCGAGAATGATGTCAGCTCATTCTTCTGAACAAGATAACACGGATGTCTATAATTTTTGACAGGGTTATCTTCCGCGTTTTAGAAGCTGTGTACTGATAATATATATATTTATGACGGATACTGAACACCAAGGTCTCTCGGGGACATGTTTACGTAAGTCCTGTTATTGCGTCTGTTGATCCGTTAGCTGGTGCTGTTCAGTAGCCGGATCCACACAGGGCCGATTAGATAAAGGAGTCACCAGATATACCCAATGATTGTATGAACAGTCGTTAGTTATCAGTATTAAGTGCCCTCAAACACTGTCATATCACATTAAAAATTAATAATCATTCAGTGGACCTGCTGTTTATGATATTTCATCAATGTTTTTTTTTGTTTTTCATTTCAATTATCAGACATGAGATTTGGAGCCTTTCCCGTATTTGTTTTCAATTCAAACAATTTCAAGTTATAAAACGCTATTTGTGGCGATGCAGATTTTTTTTATCTGCATTTTGTTCCGTACAAAAAACACGACTTAAAGTTCTCTTTTTCAACAAAATTTACAACCTCACTTATCCGGTACAAAAATAGAAACAATTGACAATATTTGTTTAACTTCAATTTTAGTCATATAAAGATTTATGATCATATTTCGCAATCAGGACTTCGCTACATAAATCTGTACCGTGATAATACACAGGGACACATGTACATTCTAAAGTCTAGTATGTTTAACGACACATGTCACTTTTTCTTGTACAGAAATATATTTTGTTTGGGGTGTAGACGTTAAATTTAAACGAAATTAGACAAAACACCTGGGGACTTTAGCAAGTTCAAAAGCCCTATATCTTCTTACTTGTGTTCTAGGGCAAGACACTCGTGCAAAGTGAGGTGAAAGTTAGCAGAAGAAACGTCTACCGTGCACAAGTGGTTCAGATAAGTATTCACTGCTATAAATTCATGTGTGTTTATCGGGAGCTAAACAAGGGCTGTAAAAGACGTCCTCGGTTGCAGTGTTAGACCCGATACTTTATACAGCGTTTTGCTGTGTAAATTTTAAAGTTTACCTGTATACATCCCGGGAAAGAGAAGTGATTTTTTTTATATTATCGTGGTTGAGATTCTTAAAGCCGGCTAACATTATCAACGTACATCACACTAAAGTCGAGCGACATCACAACGAAATTAAACTTTTATTAAAAAGTTCAAAGATTCATAAATCTGTGTTTTATGATTAAATTTTTTGATGACTGGGGGTTTCACATAAAGTTTCAGTCGGCTTGTCAAGCAGTACATTGACGAAGAGCTCGAGCGATGTAGTTAAATAGATCAGGTGCTTATACACTGCATCCGTACAACCATTAATACAAAATTAAACTACATATTTCAAATTTACAAGGTATTCTGCATTTTTTCTATTTTCTTTGACGACAATACCCGGATAAGCCATCACAACTACTGAGATGAGTTATGGCCCTGTGTAGATATTCGTAGTCCATGTGAATATGTTTAAAATCCACTAAATAAAGCCTCCCGAGTGTCTGGTTTTAAATCTTGAAAACTTAACAAAAAGATTTCAGTTTAAGATGAATACCTTGGACAGGAATCCTTAAAATAGACATGAAATCCAATATTAAACATTAAATCTTAATCGAAATAATAAACAAAGTATGATTTCATCAGATTTACTTAATTAAATCTGCGGGGACAAGTGGTGAGCCTAGGGCGTAGTATGTAGTGGTAGATCGATCTGATTGACCAGGCAAATCAAAACAAAAACGTGCACACTTACATATCCACTAATTAATACGTCGCACAATATGTATATACAATATACATACATCAATATAATTAGCCAGTTTAAGATCGACGGCGAGGGCATACCGTAGTGAAGACATTCGTACCATTCCTAGCCACGTAGTGTTAGTAAAACAAACGCATTCGTGTCTTACATGGACAACTCTCCATTGATATCTAAAGTCTAAGTTCTTCAGTCCTTGACGTGATTTTCCTGTGTACCACCCCTGCTGGAATGATTATCTCATTTTCCTGAATAATGAGATTCACATAAAAAAGTTATTGATTGATATACAGAAAAAAGTCGGTTTCCTGTGTAGTTATATGTGTCTTACCTGCATATAGGATTAATGGGCGACAATCTCCTCCTCATAATGGGCTAAGTTTCCGAGTCCTCCTGCTAGTGGCCATGTTAGATACACTAGCGTCTCATCTGGCCGGCGGAGGTCTGGCGTTCGGGCTATCATGAGATCCCCAGTTTATTGGGTAAAATATTGGGGAAAATATATATCCAGATCCGGAAAATGCTTGGTTAGTAAAGAAAATACTTCCCTTCGGCACGCAACACGTTGACACTATAGTAGTGCCCTCAACATTGCTATTCCCTACGAACACATACCTGGTAAATGGAGGTACCAATTTTTAGATAAAATCAGGATTACCACCAACATTAATAACTATATATACGTTATGTATTATAATCAATAGCCGGTTTTAAATCCACCCGGGCTGTTAATACTCCACTGTCTTGAGTTAAAGACCTTCACTTTGTCAGCTACATCCCAAATATTGTATCACGGACTGCACATGATAACGAAGATTGCGTACTATTATATATCGTAATATTACTTTTCAAGACACTGTACGGCATTTTGTATTTCAATAATTCTATGTTTGGACTAATATCTGCTGTGATTGTGGCGGGCCTTACATCCTCCGTAGGCTGTCACACCGTGCACCTCCAGACAGGTGCAAAGCCACAGACCACGTGAGTGAATCCACATGCTTGTTATACATATCGTACTGTGGTTGTTGAATTTTCATCTTTCAAAAGCATTCCAACTTTTTTTTTCGTTAAAACCACTGTATGAAAACGAAACATCAGCTATCCAATTCCATCCGTGTTTAATGTACCAGGTTTAAAATGTGTGGTATTATTCCAAAATTTTGGGGAAATGGTAACACTACGATATTTCCGAGAAAAAAACACACACCTGTACGACTACAAAACACGGGACCTGGTTTGTACCGTCCGCCAGTTACACCGGCATGTTTTCAACTGATAGCTAAGCTATACACACAGTCTCACTAGCCAAAATACACATTATGCGACCGAACGCCGAGTGTGACCAGCGCTCTGATTGGCTGATAGAAAACAATAGGCACATGAATACACAGACAAGGGTCAGTGAAGGGAGACAGACAAGTCCCTTTAAAGGGTCGAATGGGACAGAGAGAGCAGGTTTCTCTCTGCTGGAGGCACGGAGTGGACTTACAAGATATACAGAACACTTGTTCGTAAACCTATCAGGAGTTTACTTCGTCTAGAAACCCTTTTGACGATTAAGAGGAGGGTTAATACTAGCGATAGAGGAAGTCATTTTAGAGAAGAGACCGAGATTTCTATTGATTTACACAGGTAAAGGGCCAAGTATAAACATTAATAAACGATATTAATCAGCTTTCAAAAACTCTATGTCGCATAAAGTTTGTAAAAAGTCAATAAAAGCTGATTATAAAATGTAAAAGCGAGGCCGTGAAATGTCAGATGGCGGTGAAGAGTAGGGGCACAGTTACCTGACGGAACAGGCCTAGTTGGGACTTCAAAGGAGCGGAGCAGACAGGACGAGTCGTGCAGGACTGACATAGGAGACGGGGGGATCAAAATGTCACAATTTCGGGGCCTACGGTATTGATCCCGATTAGGAAATAGTGTGAGCTGACGATTAGCGGTATTGGAGATGTACATATGCAACAGAAAAGCACACAACATATTTTGATGGTCATTATATATATAATTTACATTGAAATATTTACCTATGCAAAATCGAATTAATTCATTTCATAACAAAGATTAATCACAAATAATTTAAACTGTAAATTATGTGAAGTGGCAAAAAATGTACGCTTGTATTTATTAGATATACAGTTATGAGTGATGTTGCTCGTTATATCAAGCACGTGTCGCTGCCCTCTGTACCTAGTTCCTCTCTCGCGTTACGCTGTACTCGACAGTATGAATGAAGCTCAAGGAAAATCAATGTGATTAGGACACAACCCGTGGACCAACATATCTGTTCGACTGACGGACTTATTCCCCTTACATCGGATAAGTAACATCTCGAGATTCGCGTAGGATTGCCAATCGTAGGAGTGCGTAGGTGGACATGAATATCCTTCCGCTAGAAAATATAATACCACAGGATGGTTAACGTTAGTTCATAATCATCAATTTAAATGTCATATTACCATAATATTAGGATGTTTTGTTTACATGAATTAGTGTAAATGTCTCGACTCGTGATCAATCCCTTTTAAGGCTTCAATTTCTCCTATGAGAAAATAGTGTAGAAACTGAGGTGCGATTTGCATGTTATTCAAGCAACTGAATTATACTGAGATAATGGTAGCCATCACAATGTAGAGTGTACTTGTAACCTGATTGAGAAGGATTGGTGCGGGTCTTGTAGACGTCAAAGTAAACGAAAACTGGAAGCATGTAGGCTGGTCACATATTCCCTCGACGGAAGAAGGAATAATTATGATGCCATTTATTTTTTCTTGGATAAAATTTGCGAAAATATGGATAAGAAATTTTTAACATTGCGCCTTACCAATTGTCATGTTACATAAACTTTTAACATCCCTTACTTGATAAAGAATACAAATTTGCAAACTTTGATATTTTAATTCCTGCGTATAAAATACGAATACAAATGAAGAAAGTGAACACAATTTTCAAATGTTTTCCAGAAAACTTTAAAAAAGATGTTGTATCATAAAGAGCAAATTTCAATAAATGTACCAAAGCTGTGTATCGATGTTGTCAATCACCAACATACCTAAGTATACTGTTTTCTTTACCAATAATGACATCGTGACGGTCATTAACAAATAAACAGAATATTATAATAGAAAAAAATGTATTTATAAATAAAGAAACTTCATCTTTAATTTATTTTTATATTTGCCCACAACTTTGACGCACACTACCTTTATTATATAAGCACATGTACACTTCAGTAAAGTTTATTTGTAAATAATAGTCCCGAGTAAAACACTTCAGTGAACAAATAATAGGAATCAAGTTATACCTCAAATTAACATTCAATTATACCATAAAGATATTATTTAGGTAGTCATCGTCGACTACTTTTATACTGGTAAACACAACTTTCCTTTATTGGTTCGAAAATATGCAACTCACGATTCTAATAAGAGTATATTCAATTTAAAGTAGTTTTCATCTTTATCACTTCAATGTAAAGCGTAACCACTAAGGATAAAACAGCCAGCTGAGCCTGATGCCTTACACTCGTGTTCACGTATTACATGTAGACACACACCATTTTTACAATGATGATCGTGTATGAATTCTCTGGTCAATATTTATTATTAACCCGAATGTTGACCAACCAAACAGTTTCACTAGGTTTGAGATATTCCTGTCTCCGAAACAGATTTATGTTTAATTAGTTTTCCCGTATGCTTTAAAAATCAGTAAATTTGTAAACTTGTCAACTTGTAAATTGTTGAGAAACTTTTTCATTGTGCCGATAGTATGATTCTATTTATCCACTATTTTATTAGTATGGAATTTCCCTGAAGACAGCTGACAAGAGTCGAACCGGAAGTCTGGACTTCTTATGACTTTTAATTTGTTAAAATGAAAATGCCTAATCGACCTACCGCTTATCTAATGGGAACGTTTACATTCGGCAATTTGTGTTGTTTAATATTAGCTTAAATATAATTTTATACGTTTGAAAAATGCGTCTCTGGCTATTTCATAACTATATCACGTGACTCTCTGATTACAGCGATCTGTGCGGAGCGTTAATCCTACCTCAATAGAAAACACAATGTATATACACCACCTGCGTTGTCAGTTGTGTTTACAAAAACTCGAAAAACAAAAAGTGGGACAGGTGAGAAATTACAATTTTTAATTCTGAGTTTTGTTTCGCCGGTTTGATCGCCCCGTGAACAGCCACGGTATTCTAGTAGCTAGTGATTACCTCTCTGAACAACATACGGAAGGCCCGTCATACTCCATTTAGAAATATAAAGGTAAAGTATCTTGACAATAGACACAACAAAACAGCACAGCCAGGACCGTTTACCAGTTTCCAAAAAATCTCGAACTGCTATGGCTAAGTAACGAACTAGTATATCGGAACTTCACCTGATGTTACGTATATCAAGGCTTCGACTGAACTCACTATCTTTGCTCGGATATTTACTATCATTTCATGTGAACATGGTTAAGGTTTGGTATATGGCTTTTCAAGGATGAAATATTATTTTAATACACAGACATTTTTAGAAATTACCGATAAATGTTGAAATTGACATTTTGTAATGAACTACCAAGTACATTTATGACATAACCACACTATTTTTAGTGTAATGACGCCAATTACATACACTTTTGTTATTATCACACGTGTGATGTGACCTAGCTGAATTATGATTGGCTGAAGGTTTCCATTGTTTTCATGGCGATGTCATGACTTCATGGCGTCATATGCATTGTGTCGTCACCAAAGAAAGCCATACAGAGTGATATATATGACCAATTTAGACGTTGTATCAGTCTTATGGAAGATTATTTAGACGAATATTTACAAAATTATCTGCAGTGTGAAATATATCATTAACACCATCTTACTTTATTCTATTTCATTAGATATTTATCAAACTCGACACTTTTCCTTTTTAAATTTGACTTCGCCTCGGAGCTCTGAAATAGAAAGAAAAAGCTGTTTCTTATATAAATTGAAACTTATTTAAGATCCGTTATACAAATGTATATGTATTTTCCGAAAGTTGAACTCGCGTTTACTAAACTGTAGTTCGCCGTAGTTCAAAACGCTATAGCGTATCCTGCAAGCAATTTGTAATATTCTGTGTATTTCACAACTACTGTCTTCATCTGCACATCAGCAGGAAAATCTGCGGATTTCTGCGCAACCAATGGAAGACACCTTTCTGATTGGTCAATACTGTTAACATATATCTCCTCAAGCCAAGATATGCCTTGCCTCCATCTTCACTGCAATGAAGGTACACGGTATTTCAAGCGGTTTAATGTCACATATATCCAACGTATAGCCTTTAGTCTCTTTCCTATACCTAAACATGCCTTACCGACAATACCATCGCGATTTGTCGGTATTTCAGTATTTTTTTTAAATCACCTGACTTCTGGATTAAAATGAACCTAATAAAGATTTTACATCGGAATATGACCCTGTCTACATTGTGTTTGTAATTTTGTGAAATTGGAGTGTGTACCTTTGTAATAAGTGTGTTAAAAACTATATCAAGTGCTGAATTGTCACGGGCATTGAAGGCTGATTTGTCACGACCATTGGAAGATTGAGAAGTCACGACCATTGAAGGCTTAGATGTCAAGACCATTGTAAGGCTGAGATGTCACGACCATTGAAGGCTTAGATGTCAAGACCATTGTAAGGCTGAGATGTCACGACCATTGAAGGCTGAGATGTCACGACCATTGGAAGGCTGAAATGTAACGACCATTGAAGGTTGAGATGTCACGACCATCGAAGGCTGAGAGGTCACGACCATTGAAGGTTGAGATGTCACGACCATCGAAGGCTGAGAGGTCACGACCATTGTAAGGTTGAGATGTCACGACCATTGAAGGCTAAGATGTCACGACCATTGTAAGGTTGAGATGTCACGACGATTGAAGGTTGAGATGTCACGACCATTGAAGGCTGAGATGTCACGACCATTGTAAGGCTGAGATGTCACGACCATTGGAAGACTGAGATGTCACGATCATTGGAAGGCTG